GGCCCGTAATAGAAGCGGATGGCAGCCAGGCTCTCGAAGTCGCCCTCGCCGCCCGGATGATCCACGTTGAACCAGGACGTCCACTCGCTGGCCTCTGTGGGGACCATAGGCACTTGGACCCGGGCCGAGGCCAGTCGGGCCCGATCTGCCTGCTACTGGCCTCACGTGCTAAGTGGGAGTCCTCCCCTCCCACCCCAGTGAGTGAGCAGCGCCGGGTTAGCCCCACCCACCCCGGCCCCACCCCGGTGCAGAGGTCTCCGGAAGGCTGCCCGGTGCCGGAGCTGGCGCATCAGTGCACGCAGAGATCTTGCCACGGTCTCACCTGTCCTCAGAACACGAGATATGAAGGCCGCTGGAGAGGCCTGCCTGACACCAGCCCGAGCTGTAGCTTTCCACTGTCTGGCAGCTTCTTGTTAGTGCCAGCCGGGGCCTTGCTCACTGAACCCACCACGGGTGGGAAGGGGCTGGCCTCCCATATCAACCCCCCAGAATCCTTTTCTGGTTCAAGAGCGATCAAATAGAACTTTCCTGGCCTGGGAACTGGAGACCCAGGCTCCAGAACTCCTACTTTCCTGTATGGCCTGGGCAGGTGGTCCCACCATCCTACCACCATCCCTCTTCAGTTTCCTCCTTAACAAACAACCCGATTCTCACCTCCCTGCTCCTAACACAGACCTCTTGGGGCACCACTTCCAGAGGCTGTCATGTCCAGAATGGCACTGGGCTCTCCCAGCTCGTGTCCCCTCCTCATATGTCCCACCAGCCAGAGCCTACACAACAGTCCACAGCAGAGCCAGGGCTTGGACCCTGGCTAACTCACCTTCCCAGTCCTCCAAGGCTGGCGAGGGCTGGCCAGGGTGCAGCGATGGACCTTCGAGGCCCCACATGGTCTCTATGGGCTCCTCAATAAGGGTAGTGCCTGTGGAAGTGATGAGGAGTGGGAGGGAGGAAGGAATGTTGACGGGAATCCCTGTGAGCTCTTTTTATGCAAGGTGCTGCCATGATTATCCCTATTTCACGGGGGAGAAAACCAAGGTTCTTAGAAGCCAGAGCCCAGCCCTAACCAGTTTGGCTCAGTGGATAGAGCATCAGCCTGCAGACTGAAGGATCCCAGGTTCGATTCCAGTCAAGAGCATGTACCTTGGTTGTGGGCACATCCCCAGTAGGGGGTGTGCCGGAGGCAGCTGATCAATGTTTCTCTCTCATCGATGTTTCTAACTCTCTATCCCTCTCCCTCTTTCTGTAAAAAATCAATAAAATATATATATTTTAAAAAGAAGCCAGAGCCCAGCTCTGGCCGACCCCAAGGACTGCAGCACCCCATCCTCCAGGAGGCCTCCTCTGACCCAAAGCCCCAGGTCCATGGGCAGGTGGTCCCACCATCCTACCACCATCCCTCTTCAGTTTCCTCCTTGACAAACAACCCGATTCTTACCTCCCTTGGAAGTCTGTCCACGCTCCTCCCCAGACCAAGGTCTCCCCCTAGATGTGTTCTGCCCTCGGGCTGAGCCGCATTCCCCTTTGTGCATTTGTCTGTTGGAAGTTGCTCCCTCACTCTACCTTCCATCTGCACTTGGGGCCCATGCTGCCAGCAGGAGGTCTTGGAATTGAGCCTGGCTTCTCAGGCCTCGCGAGTTGGGCTGGGCAGTGACCTCAGAAAAGTCCCTTCCCTCTTGAGGCCTCAGTCTCAATGGGCCCCATTCCCCCTCCACCGAGTGATGCAGAGATGAGACCTTCTTTTCTGAATGGGAGTTGTGTGTGGAAGAAGGAGGGGGTGGGTAAGAGAGGCAGGACCAGATGATCCAGGCGCTGGGGCTGAGGTTGAGATAGGTACCCACGGTCACCGGGACCCAGAAAAGCCTAGTTCATATCCACATTGCAAGCGCCCCTGCCGTCTCTTGGAGGAGAGAAGAAAGTGGGGAAGGTCTGTTTCTCGCCCAGGCGGTCCTGGGCTCGTCTCCCAGGTGCCCTCTCACTCCCCCCACCCCCGGGTGGGGAAGCGAGGGTCCCTGGGTTCTCTCTCCAGACGCGGGGGGCACGCCAGGCCCCCTGCCAGACGTCAGGCGCCTGTGGGGCTGGGCTGGGGACTGGGGACGCCTCACCTCGGGCCCCCGCCAGGTGCGCGGCGGCGACACAGAGGCAGAGCAGGGGTGGCAGTGATGCCATGGCCGGGTCCGAGAGTCCCAGGGAGGGTCCGGGCTCCGCCGCGCGCTCGGGTCGGACTCCTGCGGGTCTGGCGGCCACGGGGGCTGAAGGTGGGGGCGGGACGCGACCGCAGGCCCCGCCCCGGCCCCGCCCCGCCCAGGTCCCGCCCGGGCCAAACTTCTTTGCTCGCTGTGATGTGTGTGAGCCACCGCTCGGGTCGCCCCCGCATCGGTGCGTTTGGCTGCGCCTCCGCCTTCGGAATGGCCTGCGCCCCCGGTCGCCGGCTGGAAGTCCCTCCCTCCACCCCTCTCCATGCTCCACGCTGGGTCCCCAGCTGCCGGTGGGCAGTGCGTCTTGGAATCGGGCCTGGAGCTACCCGAACCTTCACGCTTCGGGCAGCCAGAAACCCTCCTTAGAATCCAACTTCGATCCAGTGGCCTTAGGCCATCGGAGCGGCTGGGAGTCCCAGAATCTCCCCTTTAGGGCGGTCAGCGGGAAGTCCCGCTCCCCGACCGCCCTCCACCCCTCCCGCCTGG